CCTAGAGTCCTGCAGTCAAGCCCGACGTCTGGCTCCCTGTTCAGCAGGAAGTCTGCTTCTTCTCCTCCCACCGTCTCTGCTTGTGTTCCCGCTCTTGCTGTGTGTGTCTCTCTCTCTGTCAAATAATTAAATAAAATCTTTTAAGAAATTTAAAAATAAGGCATGAGACCCCCATGGGTGGAGCTTGTTCTTTAAATGAGGGCCTTTAACACACAGCCCCCAGCTGTTTGGGCACCTGGGTGGCAGATGGGGCCTGCCATGTGTGGCAATACCTTCCTGAAAGGAAGTTCCTGTCCTGAAGAACTTTAGAAGTCAGCAGGATCACAAGAGTATGAAGGAGACCACAGTGCCATGAAGTTGAAAGGGAAATTAGGTACATGTGGGGATGTGCTGATTTGCTTACAAGAGACAAAAGTGAGTTGTGTTTTGTTTTGTTTTAAGATTTATTTGAGAGAGAGAGAGAGTTGGGGGAGGACCAGAGGGAGGAGGAGAGAATCTCAAGCAGACACCCCACTGAGTGTGGACCCCCATGCAGGCCTCGATCACATGATCTTGAGATCATGACCTGAGCCAAAATCAAGAGTTGGCCGCTCAACTGACTAAGCCACCCAGGTGCCCCCAAACCGAGATTTTGGGGCACCTGGTGGCTCATTTGGTTAAGCATCTGCCTTCAATTCAGGTCATGATGGCAGGGTCCTGGGAGTCCCCCATCTGGCTCCCTGCTGAGCAGGGAATCTGCTTCTTCCTTCCCCTCTGCCTGCTATTCCCCTTGCTTGTGCTCACTCTCTGTCAAATGAATAAATCTTTAAAAAAAAAAATGAGATTTCTTCCTCTTGTTTTGTCAGAAAGAGCCCTTTACATTTTGGCTCTTATGTAGCCTTAATTTCTGCTGCTTTTATCTCCTCTCTGTAGTTCTTATACCCTGTAAAGAGCAACTGTGGAGATCCCTCATTTAATTTAAATACCTAAGGAGCCATAGTTAAAGCTTATCCCACCGGGGAGGGGTGGGGGTCCTGGAGTAGAGCTGTGTCAGGCTCCACACTCAGCAAGGAGTCTGCTTGAGGATTCTCTCCCTCTCCTCCTCTCTTCCTGCTCTGTGTGCACGCGCTCTCTTTCTCTCTGAAGTAAATAAATTTAATTTTTAAAAAAACTTATCCCACTGGGAAGAAAAGAAAAATCCCAAGTGGGGTACGATTGCCCCTGGGCAAGTAAGTTTTCTCTGGAAAGTTGTGGTCTTTCCACTTAACACTTAAAGATCTCCTATTTTCTTTGCCTGACCTCCCTCTCCTAGGTTATTGAAAGCAATGGGATGGCAGGAATATCCTGAAAACGATGAGAATTGCCTCCCCCTCACAGAGGATGAGCTCAGAGAGTTCCACATGAAGACGGAACAGGTATGTCATAAACCTTTCCTGGAGACCTGTTAATGATTAGGAGAGAAAGGAACAGGGCAGTCATTGCCCTTAGAGAGCCTCAGTTTAGTGTGAGAGCAGGACCTTGGAAAAGAAAATATAAAGTAAGTTGCCATAGTAGAAATTCAGAGGAGCGAATCACTGCTTAGGCAACAGGGATTTCTGGTAATGGATATAAAAACTAGGTCAATAGCAGATTCCCGAAAGTAGTATGTTCTTTCATCCTGGCAGCTCTACCGCCTTATCAGAACCACAAGGCTGTGTTCCAGAGTAATGGGCGGAGCCCTGGGTCTCCAGGGAAGCAGAAGCAGGCCTATCCCCCCACCCCACCCCCACCTCCAGCCCTGTGGTTTCCCTCAGATATTCTCTGGCCAGAGCCAAGAAACAGCCTCTTTGAATTATCCAACAAATGGTTGGCTTCTTTCTCTGAAACACTGCCAGACCTTGAGATTTATAGCAATGAACAAGATAAATGGAGTTACAAACTTCATGAGGCTTACATTCTGGTGGTATTTATATTTTCTTTACATTTTTACTTCTCCGATTTTTATTTAAAGCACAAATAACAATAGGATTAAGGCCTGTAAAGAGAAATTACAGCTGACATAAAGACTCTGCTACTCAAAACTATTCTCTCAGTTGTTATGACCTGAGAACTTGTAGAAATAGAGAATCTGAAACCCTACCTACTGAATCAGAATCTGCATTCTTAAAAAAGATCTGTAAATGACTGATTTGCACTGTGAGTTTGAAAAGCACAGCTATAACAAATCTTGGTGTGGGGGGCACCTGGCTGGCTCAATCATTATGCGTCTGCCTTCAGCTCAGGTCCTGGGACCCGAGCCTGCTTCTCCCTCTCCCACTCCCCCTGCTTATGTTCCCTCTCTCGCTGTGTCTCTCTCTGTCAAATAAATAAAGTCTTTAAAAAAAAAAAAAAGAAAGAAAGAAAAGAAAAAAGAAATCCTGGCTCTCTCAGAAGGGCCCCTTCTACATTCTGCCTCGAATTCAGTACCGGCCTTTTCCAGGTCCCACTGCCAGTGTAGTTTTTGACGGTTTTCTTTTTTCTTTTCCTGCTAACCACAGCTGAGAAGAAATGGCTTTGGGAAGAACGGCTTTTTGCAGAGCCGTGGTTCCAGCCTGTTCTCCCCTTGGAGAAGCACTCGTAAAGCAGAGTTTGAGGATTCGGACACGGAAACCAGTAGCAGTGAAACATCAGATGACGATGCCTGGAAGTAGGCATATAAATGCTCACAAATCTGACCCAGTAAACTCAGCTTGTGTGTTTAGGGAGTATACAAAAGAAATCGTTCTTTTCCTTTTCTTATGTTGTTGAATACTTCATGCACAAGGGAAAATAATCATATCCCAAAGAGAGAGCAATTGGGTTGTTTAGCTTTTGTTGTTCTTCCCTGTTACTGCTTAATAGAGAGAAGTTTGTGTGATGGGAAAGATTTTTTAAATACACACACACACAGACACAGTATCTATGGGGCGACGCACAAGTGGGAGCTGGCAGTGCAGAGAGGAGACGCCGGTCTGCAGCAACAGCTTCTACTACCAGCCCTTGGGGCACTCACCCCTGTGCTCAAGCAATCATTGTCAATGACAAAGTGACTATTGAAGTTATAATTGTATTAAATTAATGCTAATAATTTGGATATTTTATTTTATTTTTGGCTGCTCGGGTAACGTTAGCCCTTAACCAAGCATACATGGTTTTCTTTTTTCTTTCTTTTGTTTTCCTTTTTTTGGGTACAGCTGTAAAATATTTGGATATAGGAAATGTTGTGTTATTCTTGCAGCCTTGATATTCAGGGTGGATTGTAAAATATAAATTTTTGTGAGATTTCAAAGATTAAGATTATTTTGATAACATTATTTACAGATTTAAAAGATGTGGTTATCACAAGTCTGTTGAAGGGGAAAACTACTGCATAAAATAACTAACTTGGAATAAATATTTTGCATCAGTTTGGATTGTCTTGTGTAAGAAGTATATTTCCTTTAAAGTTAGATGAGTGGATTCTTTGAGGGAAATACTTCTAGAAGTCTGAGGAAAATCTGAATTCAGACACCACTGTTTCTCCTTTTAGCGGATACTTTTTTGATGCAGAAAAACTTGTGCAATAAATTATCAGTAATAAAATCAGAAACCCAAGTTTCCTTCCTGAAACTGATTTTCATTTGCCTGGGTATTTACCAATTTGCATATTTCAAGGAAGATTCTGTGCCTCAGTTTTCCTGCTAAACAGGAACATGGGAAAAGGTTTGAGCAGTGACCAGTGGAAGAGGCACAGTTTTTCATTCAACGTACACTTCCCAGCTGTCCCCGTACATCCAGGCATTTTGCAAGACTCAGGGGGTGCAGGGAATGCCCAGCCCAGTAGGGAAGAGAATAAACCATTATATTCAAAATGAAGCCTTAGGCCAAAATCTTACAGACAAGTAGAAGTTAAAGCAAGCACGCAGTGACACTGGCACTCTGGCCATCCCTACAGTGCATGGTCCCTGGTGGATATAGCGGTCTAGGATTGTCCTCTAGTGGGAGACAACCAGCAGAGTAACAGCCCTGACTGCATGTTAGAAAGAGAACTAACTTGTGTCTCCAGAAAGGATAGAGGCTAGAGGCAGAGAAACCAGCATGACATTGGCTAGATTCTAAAGGCTAGGAAGGAACCCTGTCTGCCACACTGAATTACATAGTCTCTTCTGCTGGGGTTACAAGCAGTCCATGTAGAAATGGTGGTTGAGACAGAGCAATAAGAACTGTATCATATTTCATTGGATATATCTTTTGAAGCATTATGTACTAATAAGAAAACTTGCTGGGTCCCTGGGTGGCTCAGTTGGTTAAGCTTCCGACTTTTGATTTTGGCTCAGGTCATGATCTCAGGGTTGTGGGATCAAGCCTTAGTCCAGCTCCTTATGCAGCAAGGAGTCCGCTTTTCTCTCTCTCACTCTCTCTCTCATAAATAAATCTTAAAAAAAAGAAAACTTGCCAGGTATGATACTCCATTAATTGTCGGTCTCGATATCAGTGTTAAAATGTTGGGGGGAAAAGTACATCTTAGAATCAGTGAAATACTATAAAATGAATTAAGTTGCAAAAGCATTGGTTGAGATAGAGATACCCTGCCTGTTTGGGGTTGAGTTTGCCACTTACTAGCTTTCACAGAACAAATTTCTAAAAATGTGCCCTTTTTCCTGCTTGGAATTAAGCTGGCTGAGATCACATGCTTTGAAACACTTGTAACCTGTTGCTGATCACACCTTGGCCTTCACATGGTGAGAGGGCTGCTACCCTAAGTCCCTGCCTTGTTTAGAAAAGGGAGTTTGTTTCTCCCTTAAGGGAGAAACATGGGGCTCAGAGCTCCTGCTGGTGATGCATGTATTTGGGGAGGTGGCAGAGATTCGATCAGCACAAAAGTCCCCTGCCCTGTCTCGAATGAAGGGCTACCTTTCTATATTTGATTCTCTCATCTGATTGTGTTCTCTCAGAACTTTCATTCCTTGGGCTGTGCTAATTATCTTCCCTCTCCAGACAAAACTCCAAACAGGAATGGGGTGAGGGAAAAGCTGTCAGCCTTGGTGTGACTTTGGTTATGCAAAAGCTGTGGTTGCTTCCCAAGGGCCACAGTACAAGGGAAGGCTTTTCAGCCTAGGGGGAAGACAAGTTTCCTGACAAAGCCTAAAAGGGCAGAAGGCTTCCTCTCCCAGGTGTTCCCTAGAACGGAGAACACTTAACTTCGGTAATGTTCACTTGGGCAGAACAAGAATGAACAAAATGATACTTCCCTGCCGGACTGTTGAATAACCAGTGATGGGGTGAGGGGGAGTATGTGCGAGGGGCCCAGCTAGTCTGGGATGCAGCTGTTTGTTCCCCTTTACATCAGCAGAGAAACCAAGATGTGGTCAAAGGACTTGCACATGCTCATGTAATGCAGTGGAGCGACTTTGTGACGCTTTTTCAAGCCAGGGGCTCCTCCCAAAGGTGATCAGCCTTTCCCCACCCGTGCTCTGGACCTGCCTAGACCTGTGGTTGCTGCCCAGGGAGCTAAGTCTCCTCCCCAAACATAAACTTAATCATGTAAACTCAGCAAACTTGGCCTTTCCTCCCTCTGTCTCTGGCTTTGTTTCATCCTTCTCTCCCTTTCCCCTGCTCTCTGTCCTGTCTCTTGCAGGTCTTGGCTGGCGTGTCAGGAAAGGGGTCCCATCGCATGGCCTCCTATTCTGGGGAGCCGGGGCTCCTGTCCTGTGGGTCCTGTGACATGGTTTTCCGCTCCTGGACGCTGTTGGCCACCCACACTCAGCGTTTCTGCATTGGCCGTCTGACCCAAGAGGTAACACCAGGAGGCCACCTCTCAAAAGGGCTGCCTCCATGGCCACATGGGTGGGTATTCAAGCAACTCTGAGCCTCAGTTTTCTTCACCCCACGCCCTGTCCTGTCGCCAGGTAGTGCCACAAGACCACCAGGGCCTCCCAGACCAGGAGGCCAGCAAATTGGCTCTTAAGAAGCTAACAGAAGAGGTACTCCAGACTTTCCCCATTTGGAAATTTAGCATCCTCCCTAAATCTACTGATCATGCAGATCACGGGTCAGATTACCCCGAACACTGCGGCTGTACCTACAGGAAATGCGACCTTGGATAACAGAGGTACCCAGGGGATTAGAAGGGCCCCGGAACCAGACCCAGGCGCAGACTCGAAGCACCCACGAAGCTGCTGGAAGCCCCAGCGAGCGGCTTCGGGCGCTGCAGGGAACTCATGCAAAGCAGGTGGCGGAGACGGAGTCACAGAGCTGGGCCCTGGAGAGACGCAGTGAGGGTGAGGGAAAGGGACGGGGGATAACGGGCCCTCCCTGCCCTAACCCCTTGGCTTTGAGTTTGTCCGACCCATTGCGACTCCGTCCCTTAATGCCTCAGAACTGAGCCAACGCCTCCAAGGTTTGGCCCAGACCCGGGGCGGAATATCACGCCTTTTCGGTCTGGAGCGGGAGCTTCGAGAACTCCGGGCAGAAGCCGGGCGAACGCGGGGAGCTCTAGAAGTGCTAGGGGCGCAAGTTCAGCAGCTACAACCGGAGGCCGGGTGAGACCCGGCGCGGGCGAATTCGAAGCTCGTCTGAACCCGCCTGGGGCCGGGGGAAGGGGCGGGGCCTGACCTGAGGGCGGAGCCGCGGCGGGACGCGGGAGGCGTAGGCGCCCACGCAGCTGGAAGGTCGCAGGCATTGGGTAGGGAAGGGGCGGAGCTTCCGGAGGCCGGGTCTCGGAAGCCGCAATACCTCAGCGCGCGTGTACCCTTGCCCCAGGGTCCGGCTCAGCGCCCTGCGAGAGGCAGAACTCTGTTGTCCGGTGTTGCGGGCCAACCCAGGGACTCTGGCTGCCGAGATCGGGTGAGGTCCCGGACCCGGACCGGCAAGGGCGAAGCGCTGATCCGTCCTGGAAAGACGCTGCTGCATTTTTGTCCCCTGCTCCCTCCCTAGGGCCCTGCGAGAGGCCTACGTTCGAGGCGGGGGCCGGAACCCCGGCGTTCTGGGCCAGATCTGTCAGTTGCAGGTGGAGGCATCAGCACTGGAGTTGCGGCGGTTGCGGACCCGCAGAGGTGAACAAGAGGGCCTCTCCGAAGCGGTGGTCTTAATTCTGGGAGGAGAAAAGGGCGGTTGAACTGGCGGAGGGAGGGAGGGGCGTGGGGGGGGGGGGGGGTTTTTGGCATGGGGACCACCTGAAGGTGGAAAACCTGGGAGGTCTTTGTGGCAATGGCTAGAATGTTACCTGACAAGTCCGGCCTTGTCCATAGAGACCTAAAGCTGGAATTCTCAGAATTGCACAGCTGGTTACCAGAGGTTGGAGGTGGCAGGTCGGACTTTTTCGTTGCAGGAAAGGGGGCAGGTGCCGCCCTGGGGGAGCTTCTAGTAGTGGAAACCGAAAACCGGCGCTTGGAGGCAGAAATCCTGGCCTTACAGATGCAGAGGGGTGCAGGCCCTGCGTCCTGGGGTCAGCGAGCACCCTTGTCCTACACCACCTAGCTCTCCCCAGCAGGCTGAGTGCAGAGGAAGGGGTTAGAGGGGCCGTGCCTGGGGTATGAGGCGCGTTTGTGCCCTGTCCGTTCCTGCCCTCGTGCATCTCCAGGTGTCCCTGCATGTGGGTCCGGCTCTCAGGGAAAGTTTGTCTCAGCCCTGTTCTTGCCGCGTCCTGCTCAGAGATGCCCTACTCTTAACTCTGGTCCCAGGGCCTACGGAGCCTCGAACTTTGGTGAATCCCAGCCCATGCCTGAGAAGGAGGGAAGATCCCCCGAGCCTCCCGCCGCCGGTGGCTCCTCCTCTGCCGCCCCTTCCACACTCCACAGGCATCCTATTGAGTGGCACAGAAGAGGCTGTGAGGACCCAGGAGCTGGGGCCAGAACTGCTCTGTTTTGTGTAGTTGGGGAAGCATGGGCACCAAGGAGGCTTTTCCCAAGTCAACTCTTTCCCCACCTACAGCTGCAGGTTCCTGGAACCATGACCAAGAACCTAGGTCTGGATCCATACTTCCTTCTGCCAGCCTCTGACGTTCTGGGCCCTGCACCCTATGACCCTGGGTGAGGCCTGCTCCCTCCTTTGACATTCTCTGTGACTTGGTCATCACTGGGTCATCTTCTGATTAAGCAGACACACTAGGAAGAGCTAGGGTTGGGGAACTGATGGGGTGAGGGGCAAGGCTGAGGGGATAGGTTTCAGAGGAGTTGGGGGTTGTATAGATGGCAGCTGAAACCTGTGTTCTTCAGGGCTGGGCTGGTCATTTTCTATGACTTCCTTCGGGGCCTTGAGGCCACTTGGATTTGGGTGCAACTAATGACTGGCTTGACCCGAGATGGACAGGACACAGGAGGAGCCACGGCATTGCCCCCAGCCCTTTGCTTGCCCCCACCTCCAGCTCCTGGGCCCGTGGGCAATTGTGCCATCCTTGCCAGCAGGCAGCCTGTACCCAGGTCAGTAGATGGAGATTGATTGACTTTTGATGCATTTTGTCACAATTGAATCTTTTTCCCCATCCTGCTGAGTTTCCCCATCTATATATAGGTCCACTGGCTGAGAGCTGTCCAAGGAAAGAACAGTTCTGGCTTTTGATGTCTTGTGTTGGTTGTTCTAGGCTGCCACCTTCAGCATCAGTATCCCTGGTCTGTGAGCTACAGGCCTGGCAGGGACTGGCATGGACTAGGGAACCACAGCCAAAGGCTTGGGCCTCACTAGTGCTATTTGACCGGGAGCAAAGGGTGTTAAGTGGCCGTTGGCGCCTTCCACTTCGGGCCCTTCCTCTGGACCCCAGCCTTAGCCTTGGGCAGCTGAATGGGATTCCCCAGGTAAGTGTGGAGGACAGGGACTGGATCTCCTCCCCTCCAGGTATAGACGCAGTACCATGTCCTCTCTCTCCAGGTAGGTCAGGCTGAGCTCTTTCTGCGACTGGTTAATGCAAGAGACGCAGGTGTCCAGACACTGGCAGAGATCAATCCCGCAAGTGCCCAGGAGTACCAGTACCCACCTCCGGTGAGGGCTCACCTAGCACTAGGGATACCGCAGTGTGACTGGCATGGTCAAATGGTCAATAGCATGTTCCAAGCTATTTCTGTGAATTAACTCCTTTAACTATCATACATGTGTTAGGCAGACTATGTAAACAGATGAGGAAATCAGAGCTGCACAGTGAGGCTGACTTGGTTTACCTTAGGTAGTTAAGATATAAACCACTTGCTAAAGATACACTTCTCCCTATTCCACAGATGTCCAGCTCACCTTCACTGGAAGCAAGCTTCCTTGCCCCAAAAGCTGGCTTTGTTGACCCCCCTCCTCCTGAAGAGCCCCCTCAGCAGCAGAGTAAAGGATAGATGGTTTGGGCCCTCATCACGGTTTTGACCACCACCGCCGGCTTCCTGAGTCTAGGAGAATGTGGGTGGGCATGAGTAGCTTAAGAGGCTCAGAACTAGGATTTGTTGCCAGACCTGCAGCTTTACTACTCCACGTTCTCGGAGGGTCTAGAAGCAAACACCAGATACAAGCTCAAGATAGGAGATCCAACCATAGCTTTGCCACCTTCCACAAATACTTGGCCTTTATCAGTTATAAAATGGATGTGAGGATTAAATGGATATTGGGTATTTTCAGTATTGCCTGGAATATGAATTCTTTAAAAGCAGGGGGCACTCTTTAATTTGTTAAAGGAACATCATCAATTTCTTTTTGGGGGGTGGGGGGCTAAAGCCCATCTTGTTGCCACACTTCGTTCAGGACATCCTCTGGGAAGCCTTTCCAGACTATAAATGTCCCCACTGAACTAGGAGCTCCCATACCTTCCACAATTATAGAGGGTCACATGTAAAATATGGCTGAAATTTGATATTGGGTCCCAGTGCCAGAACCCAGTGCCAACCTTTTAATCAAAGACCTAAAATCCTTAGGACTTTAGCATCTAGGGCATCTATCTTCAGGAAGTTCAAAGCGAGAGGTCCTACAGCCATGAGTTACCATAACCAGCCCAGAATTCCAACCATTTTCTCTGCTATCTATTTAGGAAACAATATATCAACTGGAAAACGGCCTGACATTGGCTATTCAAAACGGCAGATTCTGACCTACTACTGTCTACCTAGTGCAGCGAAGTAGCCCTCTGGGTAGTCAGAATTACCAAATCCCCTGAGGTCATATAGGGCAGACACAGTTTGGAATTCAGACCCAAACAGTAACTTAACTAAGGGTCAAGGCTGAGGCAGCTCAGGCAGCACTTTGGGTGCACTCTGTCCATCAGTGAGGTCCTTGTGGGATGGCTTTAGTGCAGGTGTCCTGAGCACCAGCACCCTGACTATGCAGCCAGAACTGGTGGGCATTTCTGCCTTTCAACCCCACATCCCACACTGAAATGCTTCAGGTAGTTCGGGATCCCACTGAAAGATCTTTAAACACAAGTCCAGACCAGGAGCATTTTTTAGCATCTTTATTTGAGAAGTCAAAACTGCAGATGGGTAACAATTTGGATTCAAGTTATAAGATATATTTCAGCCCTTCTGTACAGAAAGCAAAACTCCACCAGCCAGCCTCCCCACGAATTCTTCCAACCACATCCAAAGTGTCCAGTCTCTCTCTCAGAGTTCTTTTTCCAGAACTACTGACCCTCAACTGGAAACTAGGTGGGAACAGTTATCACTTAAGGCCTGGCTCAGGCAGTTATCAGCTCATGAAGTCCACCGAACGGTATCAGCACGAAACAGCAAGATCTTTACCAAGTCTTGTTTCTGTAGCCCCCATCAAGAGCACCACTGAAGGCTTGCAAGACAGTGGAGTTCAGTATTTAAAATGGAAAAATGTAGCACCACTAGAAAACAAAGGGCCGATGGCTGTGCATGATTTGATCACCTCCATATTAAACAGGAGCTTGGATGGGAACTCCCAACAGAGATCAGTACAGAAAAGGGCAGGGTGAGTACCTTTGACCCAGAATGCTCCAAGGCACAGAGTCAGCCAGTATTTAAGAAAAAAATCATCAAAGCCTCAACCTTTGCTTACAATCTTTATTGAAGTTATACAAAAAGAATCCCCCCAAAGTGAAAAAATACATTATATACAAAAACTTTCCCTCAGGAGGAAGGCTCTGTGCCCTCTCTTTAACATGCAGTGCTTTCAACTGTAGCTCCGGCCTCCACTGTCCCCTCCACTGCTGCCCGGCTTTCAGCCTGATTCTCAGCCTGGAAGATAAATAGGGAGCCTGGGCATAAATGAGCCTAGTTTCAGCCCTTCTGTCTTATACAATCGAGTAGGCAGAGAAAGTGAACAGGTCTCCTAAAGCCTGCCTTGCTCCCTACACTCCTAACAGGATGATTACCACAAAATGTAAGGCCATTTCCGAAAGTCTAACAGGGCTGACAGAGCCAATGTTCACACATTACTTGGAAGGGGAGCAAGCAGAAATAACCGAATGGTCTTCCCAATTAAGCGCCTTCTCATACATTCATTAAAGCAGGACCTGTGGTATGTATATAGCTTCCATTCGTCAGTGAGACATCCCACATTCCAAAACCAGTTTCCTGCACACTGTTTCTATGAGGGTTGCATTCAAGTAATCCAAATAGGCTCAAGGTGAGAAACATGCACTTAGGACGACTAGTTTCCCAGGCCCTGAGAACAAGGGGAAATAAGCCAAGAGTCCAAGCCCTCTTAACTGCCCACCTCCTCCTCCATGTTTTCTGAAACTTCATTTCCACTGGAGACGGCATCCCCACTGCCTCCATTCACCTCCAGCTCTTGTTTGGCTTTCTTTGCATCATCTTTTTGGGGACTCTCTTCCTCTGGTTTCCTCTGAAGATAGAATTGGGAAGGCTTCACAAATGTGCCGAGTTTTTTCAAAGTACTGCAAAACTTTAAAAGCCCATCACTCCTCTCCTCCCCCTCTGCTGCCACCCCATGGTGCGAAGATCCCGACATCAGGACCCATGCCTCTCAAGGTCTCGCCCTTGGCCACAGGAAACACGCCAACCTGTGCTCGGTACAATAAATTGGTCAGCCACAACATACCAGTCTAGCCTCTCTAGGGGAAGGGTGAGGAGTAGATCTGAATAGTAACCAAACCCCAAGTTTGTGAATAAGGAAACAGTCTCCCACAAGAGGAAAAAACGACTCTAATTATAGGCAGAAGATGGGATGCCACAAGAGTTTAAGTATCAGCAGGTCTGCTGCTGAACAACTACTATCAAGGAAAACCTGCCAGCTTCCCAAGAAGAGCTGATCTAACCAATTCTCAGAAGCTTTCCTGACAGTCCTGGGCCAAAAGAGGCCTGGAAAACAGTTAGAAAACATACTCAAGTGAAAACTACCTTCACTTGAAATCCTCACCAACTTTGCCAAATGAATGTCTTATTCACCAAATATTAGGGAATGTATACCTGGTGTGTCATTTGAGGGAAAACAAAACAACAAAACAACAAAAAGCAGACTGGAAAGAAAATAGAAAATGACCACATGTAGATTTACCTTCTTTCTGACAAGGTGGGAGATATCGGTCACACAATTTGATGAGGAAGCACCATCTGCTGGTTTTCTACTGGCAACCTTGACAAAAAGGACTCTGTTAGTAATGTATGACTACGTAGGACACACACAGGCCGAATACTAAGTGACAAAAATCTCTTGAATACTCACCATGGAGACTGAAGTGCCTCCTCCACTAGGAGTGAAACCTGAAGTAGAGCTCTCCACCTGTGCGGGAGGTGACAGACCCAAGTGGGTCCCAAGACAGAACCCACCAGGTCACCTACACACCCACAACAGCTGCCTACCATTGTCACTCACCTTGTTCTCATTGTTGCCTACCAAACAGCTGACCAAGACCTCAAATACTAGTGGGCCTCCACATACCAGCAGTATCATCCACCCCCTCTACCTGCACGGGCCACCCCCAAACCGGGGGCTTAGGCACAGTGTAAATATTAAATTAACCCATCCATATCTTATCACCTGTGGCGTAGAAAGCTCCCTGACATTCCAGCAGCCACTCAGCATCTTGCTATCTATACAGAGGAGTTCTCAGAGATGATAATAATAGCTTACATTTGTTAAGCAAATACCATTTGTACTGTCAGAAGTATTTTAACATACAGATACTATCCCCGTTTTAAAGATGAGTCAACTAAGGCAAAGAAACATTAAGGAACACGCCCATGGTCACACTAACAAGTAGCAGAAACAGCACTTAAAACCAGTCTGGCTCCAGAGTGTATTCTCTTAAGCATTATACTACTGGATAGGGAAACTAGATCATTCCTCCTAACCACCAACTCCCTGGAAACCGTATCATGGTTCCTAGACTAATAGAACACGATACCATGATGCCTTCCAACAGTATCGAACATGCTATAATCAAAACTTTAAAAGGAAACCAAACCAACCAGAGTCGCTTTCAGAGCCAATTCAGCTACATTCCCACTGCGCTGGGACTCCTTTGCATCTTCTATCTTCTCTCTAATTTCAGGTAGCAGTTCCTTCAGCTCCTCAATTTCCTTCTCATATTCAGTAGATGATCCTTCAGCCTCCTTCATCTGCTCACTTAGTACAGCTACAAAGAACAGGCTGAAGTGATCAGTAACGGTTGCCACCAAAGGATCCATTTTGTCCTAATACTGTCGGGCTGGAGCCAGTCAAGCTTATCGTCAAGCAGCTGATGCTCACTCACCCATTCTTTTCTCAATGACTTCAATAGATTTGCTGAACTGTGCCACCGCCTCGTCATACTGAGAGTTGTACCCATAGGCCAAGCCCAGCTGGTAATGGGTCTCTGCAAGGAGCCGATCGTGGGCTTCCAGGTACTCCTCCTGCAGGTTTAAGCAAGCCTGGAACTCCTCCACAGCTTGGACATAATTCTCTAATGAAGGGAAAAAGAACAGCAAGCAAATGGACAGCACTTAATATATAATACTTCTAAATTCTAGACCATTCTATAGGAATGCTCTCCTGTTTTCTTTTTATTTTTTAAAGATTTTATTTGACAGAGACATACCAAGAGAGCGAACACAAGCAAGGGAAGCAGGAGAGGGAGAAGCAGGCTTCCTGCCTAGCAGGGAGCCGTATGTGGGGCTCAATCCCAGGACTCTGGTACCATGACTTGAGCCAAAGGCAGCCGCTTAATGACTAAGCCACCGAGGCACCCCTGCTCTCCTGTTCTAAATTACATTTTCTTTGTAGCATCTGCAGGATGCTGGACTATACAAGTACCTAACGGCGGGGCGGGGGGTGTGTGGAGCGGAGGGTGGGGAATCCCTACTGAAGAAATTTCAGAAGAAATTCTTCACTACTGTAGGAACTATAGGAACCCAAACCCACTCTCCTTTTAAAGCCAACTGCCAAGGGTGCTAGGGTGGCTCAGTCAGTTAAGCATCTGCCTTCAGCTCAGGTCATGATCTCACAGTCCAGGGATAGAGCTCCACATCAGACTCCTTGCTCAGCAGGGAGCCTGCTTCGCCCTCTCCCTCAGCCCCTCCCCCTACTCGTGCTTTATAATAAATAAAATTAATTTAAAATAATAATTATTATTTATCTAATAAATCTTTTTTTACTTTTTAAGATTTTATTT